AATTACAGTGTTTCATTCACCTTTTGAAAGTATTTCATGGGGTGAAATCAGAAAATACCTATCTTTTGTGTAAGTGAAAAAGGCAAGGGAACTAAAATTCACATTCATCAGGAAGTTTGAAAAGTAATTTTATCCCAGACCACATTTCCAGAAGTGTCATAGGTGAACAATAAATAGTTGTTGTATAAATAAATGCTTATCAAAGAGATGAATATTTCTTACTATAATTTGAACCATGTATATTTTACTCAGTTAAATGATGCTAAAGCCTGAGATATGGAAAACTAACCAGCTAGCTCCACTCATCATTAGTAGTCATTCATTATTACTTATGATCCTCATTTGTGTTGGTTCATTTATTGCCTACTCCCTCCCTGCCAGTTATCAATACTTTGACCCCAACAAAAATATGTTAACCCCAACAAAAATATGTTACTGCTCTGAGCTCTTGTAAGCATTCGAACTCCTTCATATGACTCATGAAGTATAGTCTAAAAAGGAAAGAAAGGAAGGAAGCAACCATAAACTATGGAATGATGAGACTTATTATATAACAACATGCTAATTAATAGCCAGTTAGGAGGACACTAATTAAAGTGAACCACATGCCTGACTATAGTGCTATATTGATGGATAGTACCATTCTATAGAGGCAGCGAAAAGGAGATCCTCCTCTTCTTATTGGGAATACCCAACATCTGTTAAACATTTTTTCTCCTTTGTTTCCTCCACCTCCCAGTGGAAAAGTGTTTATTACAAAACCTAGATTTTAAGGTTAAGGATTCATACAATGGTTATTTATATATTTATTTATTCATGTAATTATAATTTAAATTTCTTGGTTTTCTACTCATCTCTCCATGTACTTCCACCCCACAAGCCTCTTCTCTCTAAAAACCCTCATCTTCTTGTTCTGTAGTTCACCAACTATAAATCAACATGTTTATGTAGATTTAACAGAAATATTCTCTTGAAACACTCACGTTTATATTCATATGTTAATTTACATCAAAAAATTTAAAAGTTACATTAAGAAAACTCATATTTTGTTGCATAGAAATGCCTTGAAGGTGTCCTTTCTCTGACTTACCTTGGATGTTTGCAAACATTATAAGCAGTAGTAATTATAGTACAGCTAAAAAATATTTCCTTACTTATATTAACATCAACTTGAAATAAAATTTGTATTAGTGGTAAGTCAAAAGTATAGAGAGTAATAAATAATTTTATTAGGAAAATGCAGAATAGTATAAACATGAAATGCTAATGGTAACATCATGACGTATGTTTTAACTTTGAGGAGAGAAATGGAACACTTGAATAATGGCAAAGCATCAGAGCTTTTAATATGACCATGCATACTTGAAACAGATTTACTTTCCATTTATCACACATTATAAGTATTCTAATGTGACCAAGTGTAGGAGTCATTGAGGACAGTTTTAGAGAGAATTTAACAGGAACATAATTCTGCAGAGGAGGACTATCCATATTGTTTTACTGTTCTATTAGAGCTTCCCCCATGGATTTGACTCATCTATTAGCTTTGGTTTTCTAATGGTCTCCAAAAGGGAAGAGAGTATTTTCTTTCACCACAGCTACTCTATCACTTAGATGCATGTTACTTTTGTTATTAAGGTAATCAGATGTATTACAGTTTAATGAGTGTTATTTTTTGAGTTAGGAGAGCACAGGCCAATTATATGGAATTGAACAACATTCAGTTGAATAGGTTGATTTAATACCTGGAATCAGTACTGGTAAATCTGCTGGGAAGCCCCCCCAAAATTATTTTATCAATTATAGAATTGCTTTTGATATAATGGGAACCATAATAGACTCCAGATTTAGAGGTTATTGTAACTTAATTAACAAGCAATATGATTAAGTGTCATTTTCAAATAAATAATAATATTGATCCAATGTGAGTAACACATATACTCATAGCAATTCTTCATAATACAGGGATCATTTGTATTCAGTCTCTCCTTTTCTCTCTCATAAACACACATATTATACATGTAACACACAAAAACACAGTTTTAAGATTTAAGAAATATGAAAAACACTGAAATTAACTGATGTATACAGGAACCAAAGTCTCATTAGCACACTGCTTTTATCAACTAGTTAATTCATCATCTGTACTCTAAAAACTTTCCTGCATTATTCAAAAGCCTAAATAATTAAGTTCCAGAGTCAGAATTCTTTATGTTCTAAGTATTACCCACACTTTGGTGTGGATATTAAATGGTCTATTTAAAAATCTATTAAATGGTCAGTATGTTTGCATCCTAACACTCAGATTATAGGTACCGTCTTGCATTTAAAAGGTCAAACAGAAAAGAAGTTGCTTTATTTGTTAGAGAACACATCCGCTTGTAAGTGTTGTCTTCAAAGTAAGTTTACTTCAGAATATTCTGGGTTTTCTTATAAAAACATGTATATACATGGGTACAGAACTATAATTTGGTTATTTTATTAATAAGGGGATTATTTTTTTAGAATTATTGCGTCTTAGATTCAGTATAGGTTGAAAAAGAAAAACAAACAAAAAAAAGTGGCGACTTTCATGCTTATCATTTCTCATATAGGGAGAAAACAATGACTGGAAGGCACAGGGCTGAAGATTTAAACAAAAAAATGTCTGAATCCAGTTTCATGGGTATATGTATCCATGTATGCGTGTAACCCATCTTCCCTTTGTAAGGTTGATGTTACACTTTAATGAGTGTGTGCGTATTAGGGGGATGGTAGGATAAATATTTAATCTCTAACATTATGAATGTAATATTTTACTTCAGCTGTGTAATGTAGAGGTGTATGATGACATATGACTTTAGAGTTAGGTAAAATAAAATACCAAGGTGGTATCTTGTACTGTCAGTGAAAGTCCATCATTGCCCAACCAATAGAAAGTAAATGAACCCCTCCTCATCGGTCTGCAGTGAACCTATGAGGCTGATTTTTTTTTTAATTTTTTAAATTTATTTTCAGTGTAATAGTATTCATTGTTTTTGCCCCACACCCAGTGCTCCATGCAATCCATGCCCTCTCCAATACCCACCACCTGGTTCCTCCAACCTCCCACCCCCCGCCCCTTCAAAACCCTCAGATTGTTTTTCAGAGTCCATAGTCTCTCATGGTTCACCTCCCCTTCCAATTTCCCTCAACTCCCTTCTCCTCTCTAACTCCCTTTGTCCTCCATGCTATTTGTTATGCTCCACAAATAAGTGAAACCATATGATAATTGACTCTCTCTGCTTGACTTATTTTATTCAGCATAATCTCTTCCAGTCCCGTCCATGCTGCTACAAAAGTTGGGTATTCATCCTTTCTGATGGAGGCTTAATACTCCACAGTGCATATGGACCACATCTTCCTTATCCATTCGTCTGTTGAAGGGCATTTTGGTTCTTTCCACATTTTGGCGACCCTGGCCATTGCTGCTATAAACATTGGGGTACAGATGGCCCTTCTTTTCACTACATATGTATCTTTGGGGTAAATACCCAGTAGTGCAATTGCAGGGTCATAGGGAAGCTCTATTTTTAATTTCTTGAGGAATCTCCACACTGTTTTCCAAAGTGGCTGCACCAACTTACATTCCCACCAACAGTGTAAGAGGGTTCCCCTTTCTCCACATCCCTTCCAACACATGTTGTTTCCTGTCTTGCTAATTTTGGCCATTCTAACTGGTGTAAGGTGGTATCTCAATGTGGTTTTAATTTGTTTTAAATTCTTTAAGGATGGGGGTGTCTGGGTGGCTCAATTGTTAGGCTTCTGCCTTCAGCTCAGGTCGTGGTCCCAGGGTTCTGGGATCAAGCCCTACATTGGGCTTCTTTCTTGGTGGGAAGTTTGCTTCTCCCTCTCCCACTTTCCTTGCTTGTGTTCCTTCTCTCACTGTGTCTCTCTCTCAAATAAACAAAATCTTTTAAAAAAAAATAATTTGCGAATAGCCTCAATTTAGGATATTTTGCTTATGTGAATATTTTAGCATATTGTACATGATATGAATATGCATAATGAATTAATGAGTATTTGAAATCCAATACTTCAGTGCTTTTTCTTTTTTTCATACAATTCATTTATAATTTTTTTCATTTATAATTTCCAGTTTAGACTTCATTTTTATTATGTTAATGAAAATTTGTTTTATCAGATAGTAACTCTGTATGGTTTACTAATGACCCTAAGGATTGGATAAGGATACTTACCAAAGTCATAGAAATAGGGGCAAGAATATTATAGCATTCCCAGAGGAGTGAACAGTTTATGAAGTTTCCTTCTGAAAAGAGAAATTAGAACTTAGAGATAATAGTTTATGAATTTGTTCTTTGTATGATGGTCAAGGGAAGGATTTCTTAGCATGTTTAAATCATCTTTTTCCAGACTTAACTCACAAACCCCAGTTAATTTATTTGATGCCAGTCTCTGGATAGTGCTTTCGTATAGAACTTTCTGCAGTGATGTAAAATCCTTTATCTGCACTAATACAATAGCCATTAGTCATAAATAGGTATAGAAAACCTAAAATGTGATTAGTGTGATAGTGGAATTGAATTTTAAATTTTCTTTAATTTTAATTTATTTAAATAGTCATGTGCACCTAGTGGCTATTCTATAGAATAGCACATTGGCACTGATATTTTATGGTGTTCAGTAGAGGGGATGTTCACAATAATTATAATTTGATTCTTACTCTGATAAATTGTGTTATTGAGGTTTGTTGGGTTGCAAGAGACACATGTCAGCTTTGACTAACTTAAATTAAGAGGAGGATTTATTGGGTAGGTATTAAAGTTAACTTGAATTAAATTGCATTGATCAACCAAACGTCAGAAAGGCAGCTGCAAGGACCTCAGTATCAGGAACCTGAGATATATTTTTGTTTTGAGGGGCTTCCATTAACGTGACTAAGCTTTAACAGTCATCCAGAAAGAATCTTATTGTCTTCATGGATCAAGTGTTTCTAACTGGATCAATATCCTTTGACAGGGGTGGAAGTCAACTGGAAATGATACTAGTACTAAAGCCACTGGAAGCATCCAGGTGAGTTGGATAGTCACCTCAGCTTGTGTCTAATACAAATGCTTATTTAGATTAATATTTAGGAGGTTAGCATGGCTTATAAAAGGATAATATTTATAACACTTAAAATACCGTGTGTAAGGAGTTTCCAAACATCTTCCCTTGCTTACTTAATGTGTTCCATGGTCTATAAGCATCAGCATTACTGGAATTTGTTAGAATCTCAGACTATATCTAAACCACAGAGTCAGAATGTGTTTTGACACATTCTTTTAAATGATTTATATGTGCATTAAGCTGGAGGAGACCACATAAAAGTTGTCAAGTCAGCACAGTGATAGTTTTCACATGATAATTTCTAATCATGTATTATTATATAACTTGGATTTTTCTTTATGATTATTTGACTGTGAAATGGAGTTTGGTTTCCTATCCTAAAAATGTAAATTATGTTAGATAGTTATGTACCTATCAGTATAACATCTTAGTTAACTCATTCTCTCCTTAGATTAGGAGTTATAGGGGCGCCTGAGTGTCTCAGTGGGTTAAAGCCTTTGCCTTCAGCTCAGGTCATGATCCCAGGGTCCTGGGATTGAGCCCTACGTTGGGCTTTGCTTAGCAGGGAGTCTGCTTCCCTCTCTCTCTGCCTGCCTCTGCCTACTTGTGATCTCGGTCTGTCAAATAAATAAATAAAATCTTAGAAAAAAAAAAGATTAGGAGTTACCATTCAATATTAAAAACATAAGCTGAAATTGAAGGATAATTAAGTATGCAACTAGTATGCCATATTTTTTATCTGAAGGTAAAGTATACATCAAAGAATTCTTTGTAACCAGAAAAAAAGAAACTGGTAAACTAAAGATACATACAGTTGTATTTAAGAATACTACTTTAAATTTTTGGAAATATAATGCATGCATTTATATATATTATAAAAATTTTTTCTGATATTAGAAGACATTGTCATTTGGAGAACTGCTAGAACTTCTTAAATTCATGTATTTCAAGTGAAATATATGTTAAAGAAATATACTTTTCTATATTTTTTTGGCTTTTTCCTCTGCTTTTAAAGTCCTTATTTATCTGGAATTATCTGTTCAGATCAATGTGGAAAAACTCTATATAGGAGCTGAATTCCTGGGTGTTTGTTGTATACGTAGGAGGTCTCTATTGTAAAATCAAGAATCTGAGATATCTTTTGTCTGATGTGTGGATAGGTACATGTAACTGATATTTATGGGACCTGGCCTAATAAATTCTCTGCCAAACTGAATACTTGAAGGTTGTGGTAAATCTGCTAAAAACCCAGAATTAAAAGAAAAAGTTCCAAATTATTAAAGAACTGGCTTGCTTAATAAGATAATGAATGATGAATAGATTTGGTAGAAAATCATATACTAGGGTCATTAGTCACTTAAAATATTTATTTTAAGAGTTACTGACTCTTTATTTTTAATTTTTTATATACCAGAAAGTTTAGTGCATCCATGCTAAGGGAGACTATTTGTAATATAACTTGTTTTAAATTCAGCCTTACACAACAGAATTATGTGGGAAGTGACGACTTATTCTGGAATTCAGTTACTGTCAAGTAATAAACACAATTTCAAACACCATTTGAGAAGTTCTTACTGACAACTTTAGGAATTGATAAGAACAAAGGTGAAGAACTCATGCATACTTTTAGTACATTATCTTAGACATTAACAAAAAAATAGAATTATTATTTTAGGTGGTCTTTGTTCTTCAGTGCCAGCTGTCTTAAACAAATTATCTTTATAGTTTCTGCTATTATGCTAGTTTCTTTATTTTGCCAAAGTCTTTCTGTTTGTTTTGCTAAAATCTTAAAAGGTATCACAACTTTTTTGTAGCTTTGGAAACCAAGGCATGTCCTCTAAATTCCATCTCTTTAATCACATTTTGCTCTCTCACTCTTCTTTTCTCCCCTACTCTTTAAAACTTCTCATGGTTCCTGTATTACTTTTATGTATTTATCTGCTGTGGGTAACTTGTAGCAGTTAATTATAGAAGGTCTATTCTAATTCCTTTTAGGTCAACAACATTGTTCATGTGAATTAACAACTTGTTAGCACCACTTAGAAAGAAAGTACAAAAATTCATTTATTAGATGTAGTGGAAACAAGGCAAAAACATGGAAATGGCACCAATCACCCTTTGGGTCTTGCAGGGATTATGTTTCCTGGGCCAAGATTTAGTTGCTTTAGAGCCCCTATCTTTATAGCTTTGCTGGCTGTTATGAAGGAAAAGATATGGTTTGAGTTGGTTCTCAAAACACCATCTAAGCAAATATGGTATAGACTGCAACAACCTAATTCCTTGTTTCTGAGTCAATATACATCATGCAGCTCTGATTCATTAAAGCAAAGTGGGTTTATTGTTTATTTGTTTTTATAATATATATGGGAGAAAGCTTATCTTCAAAGGATAAATTATTTTTTCTCAAGAAGAAAACTTTTCATTATATTAGAAATAAAACCGTTTACTTAGTGCTGATCAGAACAGAATTTTCTGTATGCTTTTGATTATAAAACAGGTTTTATGATCTAAATATACTATCGTATTCTGTCCATTTTTTAAGAAGAAAATTCAAACAGTACTATTCATCAGCTGATAATCTTCAAAATACAAGCTGACTCCTTTTCTTTTTCTTAAACAAGTTTAGACATTTACAAGTAAAAGTATAAGGAATGGTTTCTATGGAATCAGTGTCTTTGATCATATTCAATTCAAGTACATGCTTTTTTAAGATCAGAAATTAATATCAAGTTTCTATTGAATATTTTAAGACAAAGAGTATGCAACATACAACCACTTATGACCAGAAATTCTAAAATATCAAGAAAATAGCTTATTATCTATACAAATAAAAATATTTATAATTTTGATACTCTCTGTAACAAAAACAAGTCAAATATAGGTAGCATGAAAAGCAAACATCAAACAAGAGGGGATAATTGAAGAAAATATTCTAGACAAAAGACATAATAAATTTATTACCTAAGAGTTACATGTCTCTTATTGCCACAAGGAGCCTCATTCCCTAGTCATCCATGTCCCTAGTCACCATTTTAGAGAGAGAGGTGGAGATAGAGACAGTCATTTAAAAGATCTGTTGTGTTGTCCAAATGATCAACTGTAACTTAAAGGGACTTTTTGTTTTTTTTAAGGATTTTATTTATTTATTTGACAGACAGAGATCACAAGTAGGCAGAGAGGCAGGCAGAGAGAGAGGAGGAAGCAGGCTCCCTGCTGAGCAGAGAACCCCGATGTGGGACTCGATCCCAGGACCCTGGGATCACGACCCGAGTTGAAGGCAGAGGCTTTAACCCACTGAGCCACCCAGGCGCCCCTTAAAGGGACTTTTGAAGGTATTCAGTCAGTCTCTGTTTAAATTAAGTTGGTTAGTAGGGACATTTAGCTTATATTTTCTCATGCTAACGAACAGGCAGAGGTTTAAGAATCAGTCTAGATTCACTGTTGCCTTGTATTCATTCAGCAAATAGTACTGAATACCTTTTATATGCTAGTCACTGTTCTAGATAATAGAAATACAAAAGTAAGCAAAACAAGTCCTTTTCTTCAGGGGGCATACCTGTGGGGAAGTGGGAGAACACTGAGAAAAAACCAATATGGATCAATATACTAAAATGTCAAGTGCTGGTAAGTGCAATGGAGAAATATAAATTAAAGTAAAAGAAGATAAAGGGGTGATGTTTTATGTAGGTCTTTCTGAAAGGTTAGTGCTCCAGCAGGAAGCTGATTAAAGGGAGGGAGCCAGCTATGTGTAGGAAGAACATCTCACAGAGGAATAGCAATGGCTCTGATGTAGGAGAGTAAGAGGCATATTCCTGCCTGGGGTTGCCCAATGCGCCTGAAGAAGAAGGAGCAAAGGGGACTGTAATCAGAATGAAGGTCAGAGAACTAGCCTGGGTTCAGCTCATCAAGAATTGCTATTATTTGCTCAGTATAATGGGAAGCCGTAGGAGAGTAGGTAGGGAAATGATAGCACACGTTTACATTTTAAAAGAATCGCTATGCTTGCTATGTGACAAATGGATTGTGGGATTCAGCAAGAACAGAAGTAGGTTGTCCTTGGGGCGCCTGGGTGGCTCAGTGGGTTAGGCCGCTGCCTTCGGCTCGGGTCGTGATCGCAGGGTCCTGGGATCGAGCCCTGCATCGGGCTCTCTGCTCAGCAGGAAGCCTGATTCCCCTCCTCTCTCTCTCTCTGCCTGCCTCTCTGCCTACTTGTGATCTCTCTCTTTGTCGAATAAATAAATAAAAATCTTAAAAAAAAAAAAAAAAGAAGTAGTTTGTCCAGTTAGGAAGCTTTCGCAGTAGTCCAGGCAAGAGATAATAGCTTGTATTAGAGTAGTGGTGGTGGAGGTGATAATAAATGGACAGATTTCAGGTATATGATGAAGTTGAATTGATAGAATTTAGTGATAGATCATTTGTGGATGGTAGTAAAGAGAGAAAGAAGGTTTACTCCATTGTGTCTTTATCTTGTTCTCTCTCAAGTCTCTCTCTAGTTGTCTAGCCTTCTTCTCAGCCCCCCATCTCTCCTTTCTTCTTTCTCCTTTTTCTCACCTACACCTCATTCTCAATTTTCTCTTCTTTCCTTCACATTCCTCCTCTTCTTGTGCTCTTCTCTATCTTCTACCTCATCTTTCCTTTTCGTTTTTTCCCTCTTTTGCTCTCTCCTATTCTTATTTTAAATATAACTGTTTTCTGTGCCAGGAATCAATTATAGGGAACCAGAGTTGGGAGCCTTACAGGAAGACTTTTCATGGCTAGGATGGTGAATAGTACATGTGATATATAATACGTGGTTATATTTGGGATTTGAAGGTTGAGCCAACTACATTTACTGATGGATTGAATATAGTAGGTGGGCTGTGGAGGTAAATCATAATGACTCCAATGATTTTGCCCTGAGAAAAGTATAAAATGTGGTATCATCAACTGAAATGAAGAAACAGGTTGGCTGGGAGTTATATATG